TTAAGTATCTCTTAGGTACTTATTGGCCTAGAATTGTTAAACTTTGTCAGTTGAGGCATCTTGGTTTTTCGGAGAATGTCCATCAAGAATTAGGTCACATTGATCTTCTTTCGAATATCTCAGGTAATTTATAAGCTTAGAATCATCAAACTTTGTCAGTTTATGCATCTTAGGTTTTCGGAGAACATCGTCCAAAAAGTATGTCACAGTGACCTACTTGTGACAATTTATGGCTATATCTAAGTATCTTGGATACTTATTGGCTTAGAATCATCATTCTTAAGTGTCAGTTGATGCATCTTGGGTTCTCGGAGAATGTCGACAAAAAAGTATGTCACATTGACATACTTTTGAATATCTCAGGTACATGTGACATTTTAAGGCTCTACGTAAGTGTCTTTGGTAATTATTGGCTTAGAATCATTAAAACTTTGTTCGTTGATGCATGCATCTTGGGTTTTCAGAGAATGTCGAACAAAAAGTAGGTCATGGTGACCTTTTGAATATCTCAGGTACTTATTGGCTTAGAATCATCAATCTTTGTTAATAAACACATCTTGATTTCTCAGAAAATTTCAGGTCACAGTGACCTACATATCCTTATGGTATTTTATAGATACATGTATATTGAATTACTGTATAGAGGGAAAATAACTCGCGGTGTTTATATTTGCTATATTAACGGTGTTCATAAATCCGTGAATTCAAGAAACAGTGAATAAATTTTCAATAATCTCAATGTTTTATTTGAAAATTTGAGAATAAACTGCGATAGGTTTATATACATGTACGTGCAGTACATGGTCATTTCAGTAATTACGAGTAGTACTTGTCATTCAACTATTTTAATTATCACGCTTTACTTTAATTCTAATCAGCAGATAATAACCTGTATTTGTTAAAAAGCTGTTTTAATAGTCAATGCTACATGTTTCATCAATCAAAACACGTGGGCCATGGTTTTAATTACCCGTGCGTAACTAATGTTACCAAGTTACCTGCATTAACACACATTTTAAGAGCCATTCTCTGTAATGACTTGAATTTTTATATAGGAGCTGTGGCACGCATACCCATACCGAAATAAGTTATAACTAAGTTATAACTAAAGTATAACTTAGTTATAACTAGGCTTTTAGGTACAAAAAAGTTATAACTAAAATGTAACTTTTTTGGACTTTGTTTTTTCCAAGTATAACTAAAATGTAACTTTTTGGACTTTGCCATTTTCACCTATAACTAAAATGTAACTTTTTGGGACTTAGTTTTTTCCAAGTATAACTAAAATGTAACTTTTTGAACTTTGCTATTTTCAGCTATAACTAAAATGTAACTTTTTTGGACTTTGTCATTTTCATGTATAACTAAAATGTAACTTTTTGGACTTTGCCATTTTCGCCTATAACTAAAATGTAACTTTTCTGGACTTTGTCATTTTCATGTATCACTAAAATGTGACTTTTTGGACTTTGCCATTTTCGCCTATAACTAAAATGTAACTTTTCTGGACTTTGTCATTTTCATGTATAACTAAAATGTAACTTTTCTGGACTTAGCCATTTTGATGCATATAACCAGTATAAATGTACAAGTTTTTTGCATTTTCTTTCTCAAAATTAACAAGCCGTTCATCAGAAAATGCACTGGGAAGGTAGAAATTCTGGAAGTGTATCTTATTAAAAATAATAAATGCAGTGATTGTATAAAAACATGGCAAAATATATTTTGGGTGCATATATTTTTTATATTCTGCATTTCATGAATGAACCTGAGAATGTTAAAAATTTACCATATGCCAATCACTTACAACTACACTGTGGGTACTTACTAAGGTCAGACGATACCATTCCCCAAATTTCTGTTTGTACATCTTCATAATGTATTAATTTATACCTAATTTTTATCACTCTCTGATTTCTAAACCTGTTTCTTATTGTTTTTAAAAACTTGAAACTCTAAAAATGTGATTATGTTAATTTCAAGTAATCCGACTGACCGACCCATTCAAATTTAGTGGCCTATCCCCAGGTCAATTTTCTTTTCTCTGACAAATGGCTAAACTGGGTTTGATCAATCAGCTGATTTCATTTCTTAAAAGAAAAAATTAGGTTGTAGCTTAAATTGAGACATAAAATATGTCAACCTAGTATTTTACCTTAAATATAAAGAGTAATCATTATTGTAACAACAATTTCCCCTACAACTTTCTGAAGTTTGTTTTCTGCCGCTAGGCAGTCATTTGGATGCCATGTTGGGTTCCACTGTAAATATAACAACTTGTATATTCAGTCCAGGGATGTTTGGCCATTGATAAGCTAAAAAAAAAAAAAAAAAAAGAATTCCCAACCAAACAATCCTTGATTTTGGGGGGAAAGTTACAGAATACAACCTTTTTTTTTAAGCCTAAGAAATGCCATCATTTGGTATCTCGCACAAATGCCTGGTAATTAAGGTACCTCAATTTTCTTGTGAGTAAACATATTAAAGAAGTATTTGTTCCATGACAAAGTCTTGGAAAAAATTAAATATTCTTGAGGAATGTCTTCTCTGTCCTTAACAAATAAACTGAAAACGTGCTCAAGAAATGACATTTTTTTAATCAATCCCAATCAACATACACTTGTGTTCAAATGAAGGCTTTAAAAGCACAAATACATGTCACATTCATTTATCAATTTAGAAATAAAAATGCATCCAGTCTATCAAAAACATGATATAAACATTATAAAAATTGTTTATAAATCATTAGATAATGGTATGTAAAGATGTTTCGACCAAGTGATCTTGCATGGTGACTTCAATAAGACCATTAAATGTTTGTGTGCACTGCAGAGTTCACATTTCACTCGCGTTCGACTCTGTTGGGAACTGTGGAAACAAAACTACGATCGTCACTCAAAGTTACACAGACGCACACATCCAAAATGTCCTGAACGAGGATTGCTTGCAGGTGTGAAGGTGGTTTCAATTGAACCATGTGAGTGGATGACGAACTGCGATGATGGTCAGTTACAGCATCGTCTCTGTCCATAATCCTTACCACAGCCACGAACAAATCACCACAGCCATCAATATTTACTTTAACGAAAGTCTCAGCCCTTCCAAACGATGCTTCTTTAAAACGAACAATTGCATTGTTTCTTCTAGTGGTTGACTTATATTCAAGGCATTGCACAACCTGTTGATGTACTAGCAGTCTTTTAAAGAAGCACACAGATCTGTAGTGTCCTACTAAAGCCAAAAGTGCTTCTCGCTCCTCCAATTTTAACTCCCTGTAACTGTACGCACCAATAACAGAAACTTTATCCGAAATTATTTCACTTGTGCAGTGTCCTTTCCTTTCCATCATTTTCTTGAACAGTTCTTGTTCACTGCTGCCGAACTTCAGAGCCTGTGCTAAGGTTGGTAGTTGTTGATGGACACTGACAGCAAATGCAATCTGTGTTTCGATGTGTTGTGTACCATGGAACAGGCGTCTCAATTGTCCATTAAAGTCCTCAAAATAAAAACATGATGAGCACCACAGCGGTCCAAGGTCTTCAACTTTTTCTGTCAAGTGCAGCAGTAGGTGAACATTTGATGTCAACTGGCGATCACTGTACAAGACAGGAATGTTAATAACAAATTCCATAAGCATCCGTTTACAGTGCAGAAGGTCCTGTGTAGAGATCTTTTCTTGTAGCAGCAAGAAGATGGAATAAACTAACAGAGAAAAATGGTGATACTGGTCCTCTGGTAACAATCCAAATAAGCATGGTAGGCTGTAGTAGAGTAGAAAATTTTTCAATTCAGCTGCTTTATAATGGGCAACATCTGCTAGAGTTCTTGGAAGTCTTGTAATGAAGCTTGGAGGTTTAATGGAGAGGAGACGCCGGTCCACTTCTGGCAGTTTGGACGAAATGTTGTAAATTTCGTTTTTGTGAGACTTGTCAAACCAAAGTGTCAATAACATCTTGACACAACCAAGAAGGACGCAATGCATATAATCCACCGCCACTCCACGAACAATGTCAAAATTCGGCACATAAGAAAACCAAGTCAATCCTTTAACACCATTCACAGAGTTCCTCAGGCGTTCTGCTTCTTCTCCATCTCTTGTGTGGGATGAGTGGGTACGCAGCAACGAGTGTCCATCTGGACTGTCCATAGCAAATGGATAGACAAGAGTATGGCCCCGTTCACTCGTCTGCACAGTTTCACCACGGACATAGCAATAAGGACAACCATGGAAGCCGTTAAATTGAACCATGTTCATGAAGAGACATCTTGCTGGGGAGTCAAAAACGCCATTGAGTAGGATGCCCCTTATCTTCTGTTCGTTAACTTCCAGTCCTAAAAAGTTGAATAATATTTTGAGATACTTCACATAATAGCAAAAGAATTGGTATTCAAAACATGCAATCAGGCAGTGAAAAAAAATTATTTTAAACAAATTGCAGGCTAAAATAAAGTTTGAATACTTATGTTAATTGAAAATGATGAATTACAGACTTTCCAAGTGTCAATAATTATATGATTTTTCATATTCATATTTCTTTTATCAATCATTTAAAATAAATTTCATTACAAAAAAATAGGAATGAATCCCTATAATATACCTTCATGGTAAATCTCGTGTAAACTCTCTGCAAAGGGTTTCAGGAACGTAGAGAAGTCTGGCTTAGAATACCCAAACCACATTCCAGCAAAAATTCTGTTGCTCCGGGTAAACCTGAAATAAATATATTCATGAATTTCATGTATTATAATATTTAACAAAATATGTGTATGTATTGTCCTTTGTGTCTAATGACCACATATCATGTTTAGCAAGACCATATTTAACTTCATGTTTATTTTTTGCTTCACTGAGAAAAGTAATTGAAAAATATCATAAATCAATCAAATCACTAGTCCTGTTAAAACATACAAATTTACTTATTCTAATATGCAATGTTAATGAAGTAAATAGTAAAATCATACATTAAAGGAGACATTGTCAATTCAATGGGTCAAAGCCAGTTGAGCCGGGTTCATCCGGACATTTGAGCATGAGTATAAATATTATGGCCTCAGCAAAATTTTTAATTAAATAATTATAAGAAATATCTACTATGAATTAATTTAAGTACTATAATATACAAAAGCTATTATACTAAATTGATGGCTTAAAAATGTTGATGGTATTTTGCCTTGCTTTTCACTAAGAATTACCGTATACAATTGGACAAACTAGAAATTTTTTTCTTAGGTTGTTCTTTTTTTTCAAGGACTGAAATTTGGATTTTACAGATATTTTAACAAGACCCATTTGGTCTAATTCACCTACGTTTCATAAATATGACAGTGTTTTCCCTTTTTTTCAAAGTAAAAGGTTAGTGATCAGTTGTAACAGGCTTTGGGCTGAGATTTTTGAACAGAATCTCTGTGGATCTTGTAACTAATTTCTTTTTCAAAGAGGCATTTTTGTGAATTTAAGCAGTCAATTTGGTCGTTAGCTGGTTCTTAGGAAAAAGTTGTATGACCAGACTATTGATTCCCTAGACTGGTCAGTTGCACATGTCTTAGTGTCAAACCCTGCAAGTAGTATGAAGCTCCAAAACTTGTTTGGCTTACCTTAGATGTGGTGGGAGTTCGTTGATAATAAAGTATATCGGCCATATGCTGAATGTCGATGAATGGAATAAGGAAACACCATCAGTGTTGATCTGGAGGGAAATGTGGAGATCTCCAAGGTCCTGGGATGTACTTCCTTTGAAATACCCATCTTTCCTAAATCTTTCTTGGTAGAGCTTTCCATCCATAATGTCGCTAATCATCCCATCATCCTTCTTTGACTGGGAGGCTTTGTATTCCCAAATTTGTTGCAGAAGTGTTCCATCTAAAATAAGAAATTACATTTGAGCTTTTAACGAACATAACTATTGGAAAAGATACAAAATGTGCAATACCAAAGAATTAATTAACTTAAAAAAAAAAAAAAAAACTATAGCCAACTTTTCAAAAGCTTCAATTTTTTAAAAGAAATTTTAAATAATTCCAGCAAATTAACCCATTCATTCATATATTGAGAGTGTATTTGCTATTGGTTATTTTCTATTGAGAAATTGTAACAATTGAACAATTCATTACCTGCAAATAATGAAGAAAGTTGGGATATGATCGGAATCACCAGAAAGTAGGCATTGGAATGCTTCTTTGTCGTTGTTTGGCAATTACGGCAGAATTCCTGTTTAACTGTCCCATGGTATAGTAAACACTGTTCACAGTAGTAATGGAACTGAAGAGGGGCCTTAAAGTTCCTGAAAAGGTCCATGAAAGTTTTTATGCTTTTCATGCACAAGTTTGGTGTGAGACAGTGAAGGTCCAAAAGCACTAGAAGGTCCGCCAAGGCCTCTCCTGTTAACGAATGCCGCATTGCAAATGAGATAACTAGAACCATGCTAGCTGCCAGAGTAATTGTTGCACCAGCGTACAATGGTTTGTCAGCTTCAACTGAAAAAGGCATATTGAATATATTAGTTTTACCTAATTGATTTCTTGCTCACCTGACATTTATAAACAACTTCTGCACACATGCAAACTAACATTATTCAGTGCTTTTCCTACATTTTAGACAAGAGGCCCATGGGCCACAATGCTCACCTGAGAAGCTTCGACCATTCTTTTCTTTCCCGTTTTTCCCCTTTGTAATTCATATTGTGACCCTACCCTACCCCACTGATATAATTTAGACAATTTGAAATGTACACTACCACAGGATGCTTGTATTCCCCATTGTAAAACTTTGATTCCCCATGGTGGCCCAGCCCTACCTCTGGGGGTCATGATTTGAACAATTTAGAATCTACACTACCCCAGGATGCTTCCACATAGGTTTCAGCTCTTTTGGCCCAGTGGTTCTTGAGAAGATTTTCGAAGATTTTTCCTATATATTTCTATGTAAAACTTTGACCCCCATAGCGGCCCCGCCCTACCCTGGGGTCATGATTTGAACAATTTAGAATCTACACTACCCCAGGATTCTTCCACATAAGTTTCAGCTATTCTCAGTGGATCTTGAGAAGATTTTTTTAATGACACCACCTTTGTCTTATCTTGATTATCTCCCCTTGTGATGGGACTTGGCCCTTCATGTAAACAATTTAAATACCCCTTCACCAAAGGATACTTTGTACCAAGTTTGGTTAAAATTGGCCCTGTGGTTCTTGAGAAGAAGTCGAAAATGTGAAAAGTTTACAGACGGACAGACAGGCGGACGGACGACAGAAAAAATGTGATCAGAAAAGCTCACTTGAGCTAAAAAAAGGCTTGGGCCTTTCCAGTTGATTGCTACATTATAACATCAAAATGCCTTTACACACAGCTAGTCTACATCTTTAACTTTCTTTTTATTATACCCCAGCGGGAGAGTATCTTATATAGCAATTGTTAATTCCATCCGTCTGTTACGCTTTGGGGTACCCATCTCTTATCCGCAACTCCTCTTTTACCAGAGCAAAACATGGACACTGCCATTTTATTCATATGGGAGGCGGGGGTATCATTTAGTGGACTCATTGCTCACAGTACCTCTAGTTTATGATCTGAAGTTGCCATTTAATGTGACCACAGTCTTCACGAAAACTTTTCAAACTAACTGGCCAGTCGGACCATTGAATTTTCAAAATATACTAGCCCACCAAAATTTTTACTGGTCCCTTTCATAAAAAAATAAAATAAATACATTTTCATAACTGTAAATTTATACATGTTTACATACTTCAACTTTTGAAATGCAGCCATTTTTCGCCCTTTGTTGCGTTTTGGTAAGTTGTTTGTTGGAACTTTGCACATTTTACATACTAGTTAATAATTACTAGCTACTTCCGGTTGTTACATAATACATCCATGTTATAATAGGGTTATAATAATAGGATTCAACAACACGAGCTTCTTTTTTTTATTTCATATATTTATGAAATTTAAGCAAGTAAGTCAGTTGAAATAAATTTTGACTGTATGATTTATATGATCAACAAGCCCATTGGACTTCTTGAATTTCAGTGACCCGAACTCAAAATTCACTGGACTCGGTCTTCGGACCAGTGAGTTTTTGTGAAGACTGTGACCATCCTATATATTTTAGTTTTTGGCCAGTATAATGCATGCAAACAGTGATCATAATCATGATAATCATAATGACAAATAAGTAACACATACCGGTATCTGAATCACCATTCCTGTCAATATCGTCTTTCACGTCTTCAAATTCATTGTTGAATACATCAAACTCTTCATCTGGGTCTGGCTCATGTGGATTTGCCCATTCTGACAGCTCAGGAACATCAGGGACATCTTGAAACATCTAAAAACAATACAAATACTATAAAAATTTATGGTTCATAAAAGTATAAGTCAACTGTTTTTTTTGTAATATGCAAAATACATGATTCTAAGATTTCCATGATTTTTCAATTTTTAAAAAAATATTTGCTTATCCATCCCCTGTGCTGTAAGCATTAATCATAACAAATATTACATAGCTGCATTTCTATACTATTTGTGTTAGACTTTGTCAAATGGCCTTCTAATTTAATTTTCATTCATTTGATGTAAGAAAAAAAAGGATGATTGTTCTAAAAAGATGACCAATTTGTACAAAATTTGCAGCCCCAAAACTTGTAACATCAGGTGGATTGATAAGTATTTGACGCAAGTCACTGTGATGTACGCAACCCATTTTATACGATATAAAGTAAATTTTTAATCCAATCAAATACTGCGTTACAACCAGAATTAAATTTTAATGATTTCAAACTTTTTTTTTTTTTTTACATGTGATACCAAGCAATTCGCCCCAGTCCCAATTGAAAAAAAATGCCTGTATTTTCCTGAAATGAAGACAAAATATGGCAGACAACTAACTTTGATTTCTGCTTCAATTTTGAAAATGTTGAATTTATTGCTGTTATAAAAGATTGTCTTATGTGTAGGTTTAAAAACAAATAATGAAAAAAAAATATTGTTTTGTGTCACTAAAGGCCTGTACAGCAGAGCGAACGTACGCGAGCGCTCACCAAAATTCCTTATACCGTCAATAGTAATTTTGGTGAGCGCTTGCGAACGTTTGCTCTGCTGAACAAGGCTTAGGTAATGTTCAAAGCTTGTACCTTCTATTTAACGACTTATTAAGTTATTTCCACTTTTTATTTCAAGAGCAAGAATTTTTTACGTAGGGTGCCATGATAAGTTAGGTAGCACCAAGTCAAAAGTATCTCTCTGTTGGTGATTCTCTCCATAGTAACCTCTAGCATGCTGGTGTAATGAATAAAGTACGCCTGTTGTATTTTTTTCTTGTCATCAGTAGTAACACGTTTTTACCTGATTAACTGATTTCTTGACATGTTCTCTCATTTTTTTGTAAAATGATGTGCTATAAATAGAGCCATGAGTAGGAAATAAAATCGTTCTTGTCACAGAGTTGACACTAGGAACGTTTGAAAACTTCGACAATGAACAACAGAAAACAATACATAAAACGATCTAAAAAAGGTGAAGACTTTTTTATATTTGAAAAAAAAGTACATAAATTGTAGCGAACACTAACCTTGTTGAATGATTTCTCATGAAAAGCATCGATGATGGCGCCGGGGTCATCACACCAATTGTCGACATCTTCCGGGGTACCATCTTTCGACGCAGAGTTGTCTGATTCTCGTTGCATTCGCCAAAGTGATACATTGGGAGTTGGAATAGACTTATCAGCAAGGTAAACCTGGTAGCGACCACGCTTTCGAGGGTACATTATTACTGCATGACTTTGTTTACTTCTCTTTTTAAAATGGCGCCTTCTTCTTCGCCTTCGTTATTTACATCCGGGCAACAGCGGAAGTGTGCCAATCGGGTATTTTCGGTTGGAAAAAAAACTTACGTATGGCTCTCGCTGATCAATTTTAAATTAAGTAATGGATAACATTGAACTTACAAACACGTTTGACAATACAGTCTTTAGTTATTTATTTTTTTTTCAAAAAATTGTATTGGACTCGGGTGTTTCCGTAATTAGATTCTAATCGCTGATTGGTTCAATTTGAAACTGGCTCGTATAGCGATTTTCATTGGCCCCGCTCTTTATTTTCAAAAAAGATAGCGTCGGTTCAAGAAGTTCAGAAGGTGAAAGTTCAAAGGTTTTGTTATTACTTCAATTCGGCGAACCATGCATGCCCTGGTCGAGTGGACGGATGAAGAGAAGGTCAGCACCATTACCCTTTCTCGCATCAAGGAACCAAGGAAGGACTTTTGCGATTATAAAGTCGGTGATATCGTGCAGGCCAGCTGCCATGGCTTCCCTGGCGTGCATCCAGCCAAGATCCTAGCCATAAGAGGTATTCTTACAATAATCTGATTAGAATATTTAAATAAATTATGTGAAATTTCACTTTTGGTGCTAGAATAAATAGAATGCAGAGGGATCTGGTTATTTTGTTGTGGGTATGCCACTGAATTTTCAGTTTGTTGTCACCTTACAATGAATCATCTTAATCACCAAAATTTGATGAGTTGTAAATTTATTCATACTTTCAATCATATAATCAAAAATTTTACCTCAACCATTGAGACATTTGAGATAATACTTATTATTCAACATAGTTCATATACATGTATAAAAACATGATAAAGAAGCTTATAAAAGCATTTGGGTATTCATTTCTCTTATCCACATTACTGGTGTGTTAAGCTCAGCTTGGTGCATATGATTTTAAATTAAAATTTACTGAAGTCAGGAATATTTATTAATATGATCTCATCAACTTTGTAGGTTCCACAACAGATGGGAAGAAGCAGTTGGAGAAGATGGCCGAAGACTACATTGCAGAAAAGAACCAAGTTCCAACAGGTAATGTACCCCTTGATCTTGTTATTTGATAATTTTTAGCAATCTTGTGTGACACTGCATTGAACAAATTATATGAATTAGAAAGTGTTTGTGTTCCATCATGCAATTGAGGTAGTGCTGTATTTTGAGCTTGCAAGGAAAAAAATCGGCACCTTTGAGTTTCCCATATATTCTTAGTATTACAGGGATAAATATATTTTACTTGGTAGGCCATAATAAATAAATTGCTAGATTCTCATCCGATTTTTAGCTCTACTGGTCAGAGACCAGAAGAGCTTATGCGATAGTAATGCATCCGGCGTCCGTCCGTCTGTCTGTCTGTCTGTAAACAATTTTTTAAAAATGCTACTCCTCCTACAGTTTTGATCTGATTTCAATATAATTTGGCACACAAGTAGACTACACTAAGATACATAATTCTGTGTATCGGTTTTTGATTTCGACCAACGGTGTTGGCATTGTTACTAAAAATAGAAATTTCTGTGAAATTCTTTCAAAATGGTACTCCTCTTACAAATTTGATCTGATTTCAATATTACTTGGCACACAAGTAGACTACACTGAGATACATAATTCTGTGTATTGGTTTTTGATTTCGACACATGTATTACAGCAATTACCATCTTTTAAGCTGTCAAAATCATGTTTGACTTTTGCGGGATTTAAAACGAAAGTAGAATGGTAGATGAAAACTGATCCCGATCAGAATTAAGGCCAAAAAAAATAATAGTCTTGTTTCTTGCTACCAGCCAGAAAAAAATAGGGTAGGTAGGTAGGAAAATTATTTTATTTTTTAATTTTATTTTATTTTTCCCAACAGTATTTTTTTGGATATGAACTACTACAAAACCAAATTGAACATGTCATAGCTTAGATAGCTAAGGTCAATATCATCTTTCAAAATGAAATTCCATGTCTTTGGATGCATAACTCAAGTGGAATTTTACGAAAGTCCATATTTTAAACATATATTTCATGAAATACAACTTGAGAATATATATATTTTTTCACTTTTGAAACATGAAATTTCTAAAATTTTGAATTTTTTCCCCAAAAGCTAAAAAAAAACTTTAGGGTCGGGTGCAAAAAAATAGGGTAGGTCGGGTAGCAGGAAACAAGACTATTTTTTATTTTGGCCTAAGACGAAGAAACACAGAAATAAAAAAAATTGAGAAGGGGGTATAAAATCAGGGCGGGCGGGATGAGAATCTAGCAATATTTTAATTATGGCCTAATGCATTCATTGATATAAAGTTGACACATGTATTATGTTTTATTATTACGGCCCCTCAAGGATTTGCGGGTGCCCTTTAGTAATCACTCTGTCTGTCCGTCTGTCATTCTTCTGTCCACAAATTTTCTGTTTTTTCTTAATAACTTTTTATATGGTTGCCCAATTAAGATCAAATTTGGTATGGTAGTTCAATAGGCAGAAATACATATTTTAATGCTAAGTTTGGTTCTCTGTGTCCCCTGGTTTGGAGCTGGGGTGGTGGGGTAGATTCTTTAACTTTATACAAGAATGCCTTGGCAAAGAGAGATAAGTGCTGAAGATGTATCCATTGTCATGATTGTAGACTGATTGCTGCTATGAGTCCCTTCGGATTAATTAGCTTTCCTCCTGGAGAAAATCTAAAGCATTATCTTTATCTGTCACATTGAGATTAATTACAACCCCTGTCTGCAAATGAAGTTTGTTTTGAAGTTCAGTCAATTTTTTGTTAACACTCTGAAATGTGGATTTTGATATAAATGTTTATACTTTATTTTGGTTAAAATACTTATACAATGAGTTATGATTTCATTGAATTCTAAAAACAAGAAATAGATTAAAGAAGACATATGTTTTATTTTTACTTTTTTTCCCTTTATGTCAATTCAAGAATAATATTAATTTTTAAGGTAGTTTGATTAAAAAAAAAACATTCTAATATTAATACTGAAAAAGTTCTTATTGTAATTTAAATTTAGAAGAAAATGATGAGAGAGATACAATTAATCCCTTGGGATTAATTATCTAGCCTGCTGAAGAAAATTTAATAGGCCTATCTTTTTCTGTCATTTTAAGATTAATGAAAACCTTTGTCTGCAACTGCTGTTTGTTTTGAAGTGAAGGTCAAGCCTTCATGATACATGTATTTGCATTCATTGAAGACTGGCATTCATTGAAGAAAAAAAATGGAGAGGGTCAGAACAGTAGATGTCAGCCCTCTAGCTAATAATAAAATTCTACATGTATCCACATACATGAAGTTCCTAAGTACCCTTAAGTGCAAACTTATAACAATTATATTAATTTGCTTTATTGGTTTTTAATTGAATCAAAGTGTGTTCTTCTAAAACTTTTTTAGCAGTTAAGATTAATTGCAACTGGACTTTTACAAGCAACAAGTTACACTGACAGATGACAGCTTACTTTTACACCAGAACAATGTACGGAAGCTCTTTATGATTAAATACAAGTAGCTGTATTTTAAAAGAGGACTACAATACATGGACCCTATACATGTGTTTCTAACCGAAAATCAATTTAAGAAACTTTCACTGGAAAGGTGCTCTTATCTAATATCAAAGCTGACCTCATTACATAATGCATTAGGTCTAAATGTCATCTGAACCATCAACTGTGACAGTCAGTGCTTCTAGTAGAAGTTCAGTACTGATATATGAATGACCTAAATTAACCGGTAATTGGTAATTAGTTATGAATTTCCCATTTAGCTTGTTGCAGGAATTGATTGGTCAGCAAATTAAATGTAAATATACGCACACTTGACTTTGAGCAAGATGCAAAAATTGTGACATGTCAATGCACAGTTCCTCAATATCAAAAAACAATTAATATGACGTCATAATGCCTCACAGCACACAGTGCTGCCAACCCTTACGATTTTGGCGTAAGGCGAACGAAATCAGCGTCTAAAATACACCTTGCAATTTCTCTCTATATTCTTCACATTTCAGTTTTTCTCGATCAAAGTTTATAATACCAGTATTTTCATAGCTGGCAGTCCATAGTATCTACATTATCATGTATTCAACATTCTTACAAGGTTTGCTTGTATCATCGTTTCGGTTTTAGAAGGCCAATCGCATTCATGTCAATGTTTTAAAGTAAAAAAAAATGGAAACAACTATGCCTCAGATCGCATGTTCATTTACAAAACCTCTTCAGCGGCAGGGGGCTTAGCTGGTCCCTAGACCCCGCCTTACTATTTGTCATTAAAGAATGTTGGCAGCTCTGAGCACATAATCATATAGTTTGAATAATTAATCAGAGGAATTGCAGTGAATATGAAAAACAATCAGATAGTCTTTAGAACTCTTAATTAATCTGACAATATATTTGAATGTTTTTTATCCCATCATTGTAGAGAGGGGTGCTACCAAGAAGGGACGGAAAAGTACAGTAAAGAAAGATGATCCAGTCAAAAAGGCAAAGAGTCAGGAGAACAAAGGTAAGCTAGTGTCTGGATTTCTTTATAATTTAATAAATTTTTAACAAATATTTTTTTTATAAAAGTTCAGGAATTTTCCACTATCCTGTGTAGGGACGAGTATTGGCCTAATTCCCAATTGCAAAACTCCTCCCATTCCCCAAAAATGCACTGCATTTGTTTTAATTTTTAAATGCAGAAGAACTTCAGAATTTAACCTGATCATAATTCACGAAACACAAATATGGTCTGGTTTGAAAATGGGGAAGAACTTTCTTATAATAATCTTCTATTGAAATAATTATTTTCTACACCTTTACATTTATAAATATGTGTAAAATGGAAGATTTTTCTGAATTTGTGAAAAACAGGTAACAAAATTGGCACTGCGCACTCCCGAACTTCGCAAAATTTTGTATCTTATGTTGGAGTATATTACACATATAGATTGTCAAAAAAATTCAAACCTTTCAAGAGTTAGACAGGTCCAGTCCAAAGACTATTTCTACCTACGTAGCTATTAATAGCTACCTAGCTATTTAAAGCTACCCAAAGTAGCTATTTTTACCTACTTTCTGCTTTACTTGCATTTTGTGGCCAAATGCAGGCACGGCGCAACATGGTGAGCACTATTTTTTTTAATAGAGTCACATTGATTATCGATATGACAAAAATTTGGCCAAAAAATGATGACTTCTTATATTTTCAATTTTGCATAGAAACTAATATAAAATTGCCGATTCAAGAAGTCATCACTTTTTGGCCAAAATTTTGTCGTATTCAACATTAGTGTGACTGTATCAAACAATATGGTATTCACCATGTTGCGCCGTTTGGTTTTTTAAGCCGCAAAATGCAGAAATTATAAAAAGTAGGTAAAAATAGCTACTTTGGGTAGCTTTAAATACCTAGGTAGCTATTAATAGCTACGTAGGTAGAAAAAGTCTTTGGACTGGACCTGTTAGATAGTATATAGCTTGAATTTCATGTAATGATTTACTGGATTAGAAAATATTGTACATTGACTGATTATATGCTCAAAAAATATCATATGTAACAGTCCGCCATTTTGAATTTGGTGGGACTTTCCAAGATTCTTTTGTCTGTTCAAACAGGTAAATCACATGATTTCTAACTCTAGTACTATGCAATCATTTGTTGTTAACCTGCAGGTGGCCATCTGTGCTCTGATAACAAGTAAACAAGTGGTAATTTCAAGTCAAATCAACAATGAAATACATGTGCGTCAAAAGTTTTCATTAAGGATTGGGGGTTAGGCATTAAAAGTCGTCAAGGGGTAAAGGAGGGAGAGGTCTAAGGGGTAAAGATTTAAATTTTTATTTCCAAGGACCTGGGTCCCATTCCCAAAAGTGAGTGGAAAATCCCTGAAGTTTTAAATATCTGATCAGGGTATGCCAAATAGTTTTGTAACATATTCATGATGTATGCTTAATACAATGTCATACATAATGCAAAATACCAGGGAAAACAATTATTGATGAATATCTATGGGTTTCGTCTGACAAGTACATAATGTATGATTACCGTATATACTCGCCTATAAGTCAGTTTTTGGGGAGTTAATATCTAATCCAAAACTCTGTGTCCGACTTATAGGCGAGCTATAAAAAGAATGATATTATATGAGGTCAGTACATCTGAAATATAAGCTCCTGAGTACAACCGACTTATAGACGGACCAACTTATAGGCGAGTATATACGGTATATAGGTTACCTTGCACATGACATGTTCATTCTTTGTCATTTATACTTGCTATAATAAACTTGATATTACATGCAAGTCTTTCAGAATATTTGTTGCTTGGGTTCAAATCAAAACAAAACCATAATTGTACTGGTATTTAACAAGAAGTCTGTGTGCTAATGCTCACTAGTAATGCCCCGGCTTTGATGTAAATATACCCAGCTTATGAATACACATCAGTTATAGATAGACACATAGATAATCAGAAAGTTGATATCAGATCAATATAATAATGACTCCCACCATATGACACGCCTATAAAACTAAGAATGTGCTAAAATTTCAAGCATCTGCAATAAGTAGTTGCTGAGAAAACTTTCACAAAAATTTGTTATGGATGATACTGACAGACCCATAGATCATGTAGATAAACAGGAATTTAACTTCAGATTTGTACAAAAATGAATCTCTCCACAGGAATTTAACTTCAGATTTGTACAAAAATGAATCTCTCCACAAGAATTTAACTTCAGATTTGTACAAAAATGAATCTCTCCACATGGCATGCCTAAAGAGAGCTAAAATCTTAAACACATATGATGAGTAGTTGTTGCTGAGAAAACTGCAACAGCAAAAATTTGTTAAGGACGGACAGACACACACAGGTTAAACAGTATACCCCCCCTTTCCTTTGGAGCGGGTTAAAAAAATAAGTGGAATGCAAGAGTTGAACAAAACTATAACTATTTTATGTCAGAATGTTATTTTTAAATACATGTAGCAACCAAATTTTGACTAATTCTTATTCACCTTTCTTAAAATTGGAAGGGGGGGGGGGGTTAAAACTGACTTAAAAAAAAATCTTTATATCAAAAATTTAAAGCCGCATCGCTGAATGAGAGGGGGATATTTTGTTTTACCCTCTTGTGTCTGTCTGTATTAAAAAAAATTAAATTAGAAAAAAAATAATTGAACAATCTTTTGTTATGCAGTGAACATGATAAAAGATTTGTCACATAGTTTGAGTTTATAAGTATAAGGGCCCTCCCGGTAAATGATACCAATCATGAATGCTACAATTAAGAACCCTCTATAACCTTCACACTAAAGACTTCTGATATTCTAAGGCCTAAGGTATTTTTCTGCAGTAAGAGTGATCTGCCCTTAAGAGTAAATTCTAAAAAATAGAAAATTACTCAATCTGTAATCAATTAAAGTATTCACAACATTCTTAAAGGTCTTGATAAATTAACTGAACATGTTATTTACATGTTTTTTTTCTATTAAAGTAACTAACAGCGATATCCATTCACTGATACTGTGTTGTCTTTGAACATTTTTCCCGGGGGTAAATGCCACGTACTATACATTGAAAATTAGATAGATAAGCACTATATTAACTCCTTTATGCAATAATTTTTTTTCAATGTCCAAAAAAGTATTTGCACTGGTGTAGAGAGAGTCTCAAGACCATTCCCTTTCTGCAAATAACTATATGGTAAAAAAAAGGGTCTGAAGGCAACCCTGATGAAATATCTTCATGATATTACTCCGATATTTAATAACTAATTGCATATAATGTATATTCCAGAAAACAAAGCAGAAAGAGAAAAAAAGAGGGAAGAGAATAAGAAGAAAAGAGAGATTGGCCTGAAGAAGAATGCAGAGTTTCTACAATCTCTTCAAGTCTTTAAGAATCAGGTAAACACCTTATTTAATCTTGAATCTTGCTTCTACTCACACAAGAGGAAGTCAAATGTATATTTGAAGGCTCAAGTGAGATTTTCTGATAAAAATTTGTCCATTGTCTGTTGTCGTAGTCGTCGTTGTAAACTAAACTTCTTATCTTCTTCTCAAGAACCACTCGGTCAATTTCAACCAAACTTGCCACAAAGTATCCTTAGGTGAAGGGGATTCAAGTTTGTTCAAATGAAGGGCCACACCCTCTTCAAAGGGGAGATAGTTATAAATTTGTGAAAAATTAATGGCATTTTTAAAAAACTTCTTCTCAAGAACCATTGAAACAGGAAAGATGAAACTTGTATAAAATTCATCCTCAGGTAGTGTAGATTCAAGTTTGTAAGTTTGTCGGTTGTAAATCCATACCCGGTCAGTAAATCTTTACACAGTCGATGTATTACGTCACAAACGTGACGTCATGTAATAGGCACAGTATAAGCGCGCTGAAGCATTTAGCAGAGAAAAACATTCATAAACTACAGATAAAACGTAAATGTTTCATTGGTAGGGTAAATTTGTTACATTTTCATTTCGTGACAGGGTATGAGATGATACCTGGTTAGTACTCCGCCTCGCCAGGTATGAAATTTACTAACCAGGTATCATCTCATACCCTGTCACTAAATGACTATGTAACAAATCATACATTTTGAAGATCACGAAGAATAATTTATTAACATACCAGTGTGATGATTAGTGTTTTGTAGTACTAAATTAAAAACCATTGCCTTATTCTAAGCCCACATTGACTTGAAAAAAAGTTTATAAGAATAAAATCATTCTTCAAGGACCAATTCTAATATCATTCTTATATTTCTATATATCTTAAAAACCCATGTTTTTAAAAGTTATGAATCATGCTTTATAAAATTTAAGCCAAAAAATTCCAAATTGAATCAAAACTCCTGTGAACCATTATAATCCTAAAATGTAGTCAATTTCTTCCCTAATGACTGGAGAAATGTAAAATAAAAATGAATAGCCATAGTAATCACTGGTTGATATTACTTACTTTAGGTATATTAAGCTAAATATTTCAGGCAAATTGCTCACATTTTTTGTGAAAAACAATTATTTAAAGTAAAATTTTAATTAAATTCAAATAAACTTAAACAAATACATTTGTAATTTTGTATAAATAATTTTCAGACCCCTTCCACAAATCAACAGGATCAGTCATCTCAGCATCACCCTCAGACTCAGTTCCCATCTCCACAACACTCGAACAACAATATTAACCAACCAGCTCCATCTCTAAATCAGACGTACCATCCATTTCGACCCAACAATGGACAGCAGCTACTGCCTCTAGATGGTCCAAGCCCTTCTCATCAACAGTTTCATTCACACCATGAGAACTCTCAACAGCATTTTCAACCAAACCTCTGCTACCCACAGCAGCAGCAATTCCATGGACAGAACCAGGGCACCCCACACCAGCAACAGTTCCACTCAGGCATGCCACACCAGCAACAGTTCCACCAGGGCTCACCACACCAGCAACAGTTCCACCCAGGCACACCACAACAGCAACAGTTCCACCAGGGCATGCCACACCAGCAACAGTTCCACCAGGGCACGCCACACCAGCAACAGTTCCAACAGGGCACGCCACACCAGCAACAGTTCAAACAGGGCACGCCACACCAGCAACAGTTCCACCAGGGCACGCCACACCAGCAACAGTTCCACCAGGGCACGCCATCCCAGCAACAGTTCCACCAGGGAACGCCACACCAGCAACAGTTCCACCAGAATGGGGGCACCTTCCATCAGCAACAAACCGATCAGCATCATGACTTAGCCAAGCAACAACCATCAGCTGATGCCCAAACCCTCAGTTCACAAAAAGACAAAGTCAACAGTCAACAGCAGCATCCCAACAACGTCCAGGCCAACTGTCTACCAGAGCTGCACTCTGATTCAGACTCCGATGCAACTCCAATACAGCCCCGCTTTAGACGTTTTGGACAGCCACCAGATCACCAGTCAAATCCAGTTGACACCAATCAAGGAAAACAAGAGAGACAACTACCAAAGAAGAAGTCAGCCACATGCCTTTCCTTTACTGAGGTAATTTGATTTATATTAAGCTGGCACAAGTAATCTTTAAGTTTAAGATGTAATATAAATTAGTAGATTTGTCAGAAAATCTAAATTAATTTGATAACAAGTTACACTATTTACAACAGTAAATTGGATTTAAAATTTGCCAAAAAAAGGTTCTTGTCATTGCCTAATGTTCAATGATTTTCCCCATGATTAAATGGAATCTTTTAAGTAACATTATCTGATTTCTTTTGAGCAGATTCCAGGGATGTCTGAGGAAATTTCCAGGGGAAACCAGATACTGGACGAGTTCCTAGAAAACACAGCTGACAATACAGATGAGGTACAGTGGATTTGTGTTATAAAATATTTCAAATCTCATACTTTTTACTCACAGATGGAAACCTGATGATGTGTTCTGCATTTTCTATAAGTGGTACTTTACTTTTTAGTTTGGGGAACCTGACACTATGCAGTGTGATTGCTGCAAGGCTGCTTTAAAGGAAAAGGAGAGGGAGCTAGAGGAGGTGAAAAGACAGCTGTTCCAAGCTAGGGAGGAACTTGAGCAACAGAAAACGTCTAATGGCATGCAGTTGACAACTGGTAAGCCTTTATTATTTGTAATTATGATTATTAAAATAATAATGCATTAAATACTTAACACTGTGGTTTTATATTTGTATTTATTAATAATATGATAAATTAAATTTTAATTCATGCAAGACTTAACACTGTTGTCTCATGGGATTCATTGACTCTATTTAAAATAAATATTTTTTATTTATAGGTGAATGGAATACCCAGAAAGATGGATATCCCAGAGCAGGACGTGTCCCAAAGGAGATAGCAGAGAACCATAGTGTAAGTTTTGGATGGAATTACAATGATAAGGCATAAAAAATTTAAAGAAACACTCTATCCAGATTATTATAAGGTTAAGAAACAAAAGGTTGATAGAATGTTGGTCAAGTTCTTTCATGAGAAGACATTTGAAAATGAGGTTAAAATTTCACTAATACCTTTACCCCTGTTAAATACCATTTGGTAGGAAATGATAAACCTATGTAAAACCTGATAATATTTCCCTTTAAACTGTCTGCTTAGATATTTTCATGATGGGAGTGGTCACATCAAATTGAAATGGCTATTATGTTCAGAATAAGTCATTCTTCAGATAAACGGAATGAGAATAAGGGACTAGTAAATGAAAAAATATGATAATTTGATTGTCAAACATATCAAAATATGAATGTAATCCTAAAAGCTTGTTTGTATTTAATCATATTTTCTGAAATACATGACATTTTTACAAATATTCTGAAACAAATGTATGATTTCTGGTTTTCACACAAAGTCAATTATCATTCAAAAGAACAAATTGAGAGAACACAATTTAACTCTGTAATACTTAACTAGGTACAATGACATGACAAAGATGATTGGAAGTTTTTGCTTTGTGAAACTCTGGTACTTTTAAAAGTGTATATTTTTTGTACCGTAATAAATTTTTTTTTTTTGATTATCTAGATGATGGAGCTAATGCCTGGTAGTGGGATCTACGTTTACCCAAAAGATGTGCGGGCCCTCAACAAAAAAACCAGTGGAACTGGAATGGCACGTTACCTGATGTCTGTGTTTTACACAAATGAAGAGCTTGTGAGGCGAGGAAACCTAACAGGTGCCAATGGAAAAGAAGGATTGGACAAGTCCATTTTGAAGACTATTGTTGGTAAGAATTTAAAATTAATTTACAAATTTTTAACAATAATGACAAATTCCTTTTACTTAGAATTAAAATAATCAGTCACACTTACATTTTTCAATGCTCTATTTGGTAAAAACGAACTGCTTGTGATTTTCAAAACAATGATATGCAATTTATTTTGTGTTAAATATTCATCTTTTTAGTCAGTGAAGCAATCACAGCTGATTAATTTATATATTTCTTTTAGACTATGCTGTTGTTAAGGGAAGAGATTGTGAGTCCAATGTCAAGTTTTCGATGAGGACGAAGATCAGTTCCCTGGTCAGCCTACAGAACAGGAAACAGACCTGCCTTTCCTGATTGCTTCCAATCCGTAATGTGATATCCTTCCATGACATTAACTTTTTTCCTTAAAATAATATGATAGTGAATTCACTTCATTAGGATGCTGATGGCTGTCCATATTGAATGCGTAGCCAATGTTTAATGTGATATCTGACTTATGATGAATTTCCTATGTGGGTATATTTTTCATCCAATGTTTGATGTTATATGAGAATTATGATGAATTTCCTACTATGTGGGTATATTTATCATCCAATGTTTAATATGATATGAGAATTATGATGAATTTCCTACTATGTGGGTATATTTATCATCCAATGTTTGATGTGATATGAGAATTATGATGAATTTCCTATGTGGGTATATTTATCATCCAATGTTGAATGTGATACGAAACTTGCAATGAATTTCCTTAGTGGTTCTATTTATTTTCCAATGTTTAATGTGATATCGGACTCCCTCCATAAGAATGCTGTCCATTTATTAAAAGAATTGTGATATGGAACAACTTTCATATGGATATTTATTGTTCATTTTTAATGTGATAACGTGTGTACAATGAGAAGTTATATTTTGTTAATGGATTTTAAAGAAAAAAATTTGTTCCAAACACTTTATTAAAGATTTTAATTATATCAACAATAGTCGCTGTATTTAATATGTTACATAACAACAAACAGTTCCTGTACATAATTTGTTATTTATTATCCATTTAATTTAATGGTTGTTGAAATGTGTGCTTTTGTACAGAAATGGTGCCTATAATAAATTTCTTGTAGATTTTCAAAATATAACTTTTCTGTAACTTTTCTATAACTTTTCTATAACTTTTTTAATAACTTTTCTGTAACTTTTTCCATAACTTTTTGAAGATATAACTATTTTTAGGTATAACTTTTTTGTAACTTTTTTCATAACTTTTATCGGGTATAACTTTTTTGTAGCTTTTTTCATAACTTTTATTGGGTATAACTTTTTTGTAACTTTTATGATAACTTTTATTAGGTATAACTTTTTTGTAACTTTTTTCATAACTTTTATCGGGTATAACTTTTTTGTAACTTTTATGATAACTTTTATCGGGTATAACTTTTTTGTAACTTTTTTCATAACTTTTTTCGGGTATAACTTTTTTGTAACTTTTTCCACTGTCTGTAAAAGTATAACTAAGGTATAACTTTGTAACTTTTTTATAACTTTTTGTGTAACTTTTAATAAGTATAACTTTTTGTAGTTATAACTTTTTTATAACTTTTATGCACTTGTTGTATTTATGTTGAAATAAAAGATGAAAAGTTATGTTTGAGTTATAACTTTTTTGTAACTAAGTTATAACTAAATTATACCTCGCATAAAACTTGCTATTCCAAACTCCGATAACTTAGTTATAACTTTTTTGTAACTTTTTTTAGTTACAAAAGTTATAACTTAGTTATAACTTATTTCGGTATGGGTAGTCTCAGAATTTCTCCTAACTCTCTATGATAAAAGTTATTGATACCCTAAACTGAAATCAGGCAAAAATTGGTTGCTATGTTTCATAGTTACCATGGCAACATGTTTCAAAGTTCGAAAAATGACATTTTTTAACATGTTTAGAGCCCCATAGTTAACATTTGCGGCAAAGCAAACAATTGGCAATGACTGTTTCCAAAAGTTGAAGGTCAGATGTCTCAAATGCATGATAAACACGTTTGGTAAATCAGCTATTATATACGTTGCTATGGTAACAAAGTATTCAAAAGTAAAAAAAAAAAATTCATTGAATTTTATAAAATCATACACATAAAAATAAAAAGCAATTATAGGATGAAATGTGACCAAATAATAGAAAAAAGAGCCTTGAAACATATACCAAGAACAAAATATGATATTTCATTTTGGATGGCAATGGTTGCCAAGGTTTTTATACCACAGAGAGCCTTCAAAGTAGCACTCTGTGTGTTGAAATCTGATCCTATCTTTTAAAAAAGCACATTTCCTCATAACTAATGATCAATTTTTAAAGATGTTGGTGTGCTTCTAGATTTCCCATTTGAAAAAAATCAGATTAGATTCTTTAAATAGAGCGTTGCTATGGAAATAAGCAGAAAATATATGCTTAAAAAACCTGAAAAATATTTTCTTTCCTTGGATACGTACCCTTAAATGTAGATTCCCAAAACTTTTATGATTGATATTTATTAACAGATAACCTGACTTTTAATTTTGACTATCATCCAATCTCTAAGTGGATGCAAGAAATTGGCACACAGGGTTTAATATTGATATAAAGTTTACAAAATCAAACATTTTCCCTTCTTGGTAACCATAGCAACAGTGTTGTTTTCTTCATCAAATTTTATCAATATATGATATTCAACTTCAGTTCTAACAGATAAGTACTATTCAAGCTGAGTCCTTTCATTTGTTTCTTGATTATATGGCAATTTAATTCTGAATGCAGCGAAAAAATTCACTTTTAAGCACTGGTACTTTGTTTCCATGGTAACACTGCAAAGTAGCAATTATACCCAATTTTTCTTATGGTTTTGGTGTTGCAAGGTCCTAAGGGTGCATATTTGCCAGTCTTGAATTTTCATGTTTTTCCTCAAGACAGCAGCATTAACCCAATCTTAGTTACTGGTTTTGCATGGTTACACTGTGTTACCATGGCAACCATAAAAGTTATTTATAGAATAATATTGCTTATACTTATATACTTATGGTTAAACATTTTCATCGTTTTTCTTAAGTCGTTGATTGAGTTTTAGCATGTAACACCTACCATTAGTGAATACGGAGGGTTTTACAGCATATTTCAGCATTTTAAATGTATTCCAAATGTACCCTTGGTTACCACTTACTTAGAGATATATTCTAAACAGTTTCTTTACAGTATAAGTGACATCAAGGTGTCATGTTTTTGTGAGAATGGTTTGTTTGCTTTTTCTAGTTTTTATTAAGCCACAGTCAAGATTTAAAGTGGCTGAAAATCTCGATTTTTCAAACTTTTCCGGCTGTTGCCATAGCAACCGAGACCCATAGCAACAAAATTTTGTTTGAAATTTGTTTCTGGTGTCAAGTACTAAGCATGGGTGAAGTTTCATCAAAATCGGTGACCATGCGTGGCAACGAAGTTTAAGTGGTTACAGAGAATGGCTATTAATTCTTATCGACATTTTAAAAAAATTCAAATAATTATTATCAAACTTACTGAAGATTTTGGAAGGATATTATTTGGATGACCTACATTAACACATTTATTACCGCCCAGTGGTTTTTCGCCTCTAGGGGTGTACATGCACTCATCGTAATATGCATATAGGAAAGTCATTAGACGTTTAAAGTCAAGGACGTTTTATAAACTGCACTTGTTTTAATTAATCGTCAATTATTTATTAAATCTAACAATTTTATATTAACCTACCCTGTTGATGTTATTTACATGTAGCTAAACGGGATATAGACAAGGGAGGTAAGTTTTATTTTATATTAATTCCGCGAATTCAAGAAACCGCGATCGTGTCAGATGAAAGAAAAACTTGAAAATTGCAACCTGTGAAATTAATCCCCCATACAGTATCTTCAGTCCTAACTGGCTAAGAATCATCAAACGCTGTCAGTTGATGCATCTTGGGTTTTATTAACTTATAGTTAGAAGCTTCAAATAGAAATGATAGATTGTACAATTTATCAGAAGAGCGATTCAAGGCCCTCAATGGGCCACTTGTAATCTAATTGAAAGTATGATGTTATTTATATATACCCATTCTGTATCATATGTGTATTATCAAGTTAATGTGAATGCTAATAATTTGCTCACCTGAGCTGAAAGTTAAGTGAGCTTTTCTGATCACTTGTTGTCTGCTTCGTGGCGGTCTTTAAACTTTCCACATTTTCAACTTTTTCTCAAGACCCACTGGACCAATTTTAACCAATCTTGGTACATAGCACCCTTGGATGAAGGGGGGTTTAAATTGTAAAAATTAAAATGAAGGGTCAAGTCTCCCCATAAGGAGCATACATGTGATATGTACCGGCGGTACACAAAATGTCAGTATTTTCGACCCATTCACGGGCTCACGGGGGTACACCAAAATTCACGGGAAATGAAAATGTGTACCGTATTTTGAAATGTTTACCGGAAACCACCATTTTTCTTTCATTCCCGCTCTCGCAACACCGGAAATCTAGAAGTACGCGTGAATTACTGCGCTTGATTACTGTAAACAAAACATCATGAAGGAAGGTGTGAAATATTTCCGTGATAATTACATCGTAATTAGGAGATATCAAAGCGTTTTGTTTGGCTGATTGCTTTTTAATAGGACCTTTATCAAGGATTTGTTTAAACTGTAATTTATTAAAACTAAAGAAATTTAAAAAAAAAACGCCATTGACAAGAATTGGAGACACTTTGTGACAGCAAAACGAAATTTAGTCCATTATTTGGTTAGGCATACATATTGTCTATTCAAACATAGATTAAGAGAAATGTTTTTTTAGTACAATTTAAAAATTACAGCTGAATGAAGACGACCAGACTCGTACAATAAACTGTTTTTAAACACTGTACTTTTTACTGAGTTCAGCATTTAGCATTATTGCCGAAATTCAAAATACTTGAATGGTTTCTCGAAGTGAATAGTAAATCATAGTACATGTTATGCAGTGGTGCACCTGTACATTGATTTGAAATTTATTATTTAAAAAATAAACACCTTACATTGTTGTTTTGGTCGGTATTTTGTACCGTTTTTTGATTAGCAGTGTACAGTATTTTCACCCAAATTCCAGTAATTTGAAGGCTGCTTTACAGTATTTAGGTCTAGAAATTATCATATGTATGAAGGAGATATAAGTCATAAACAAGAAAAGACAAAAATAGTGTGGGGACATTAAAAAGTCCTTTCAAGAACCTCGGGGTCTGAAATGCCCAAAAGCTGAAACTAATGTGGAAGCATCCAGGGGTAGTGTATAGGGATGTGCAATTTTATCGGTATACCGGTATAACTCGATTTTTTGTTGCGTGATACGTATCGTGATACGGAGACCTAAGTACAGGTCTCTAAGTACATATTATAAAGTCCAGAAATTATTCATTTATTTGTTCAATCTTTCAAATGAAAATTACAGAGAGTATAAAAAATGTTGTAAAAAGTGAAAAGAACGGCATCTTACCGTCCTAACATGATTGATTTTATAAATATAAAAATTTCAAAAAAGTAAAATTTTCTTTTACTAGCATATTTTTTAGAAAAAAAATCAACTTTTCATATAAAATCATTGTAAAAACTGCTTTTAAAAATATCATGATATTATCGTGATATTGTGGGAAAAAATCGTGATATATCGCGATACGAAATTTTTGGCGATACCCATCCCTAGTAGTGTACAAATTAAATTAAACTGTTCAAATCATGACCCCTTGGAGATAGGGTGGGCTACAATTTGATTTGCTAAAAAATAACTTGAAAATTGGCTATATCTGACATTTGGTACAAAATGATACATTTTTAAACATTTTAAACAATTTTTCTAAATTTTTTTCTATCTCTGGGTCTTTTCTCCATTATTTTGAAACGTTGTTTGTGTGCATTTTAATTCAAAGAAATGAATATACAATCGTAAAAAATAGAAGACCCAGAGTCCAACAAAAATGAACTTTTTTATCAAATAAATCCAACTGTGTAAATATGGTGCTTTTTATTTTGTCTAAGACAAGGGATAAGGTATCGATCAATTTCAAAATTAAAGATTCTTAAATCTTGAACAAAATTTGGAACATTTTAATATAATATCTTGAAAGAATAAGAAAAGAGAAAAGATTCAACTTTAAAAGAATATTTAAAGTATTTCTGAAAGAAGAATTCTGAATTCACTCTTCTTGGAAATTTGTACGAGGGTTGTCCCGTAAAATCGTTGACAAAGCGTTTTTCTCGAAAAGTAATGGGCGCACTAAGCTGAAATTTTCAGTAAATGTTTATTCATCATATTTAAGTGCATCATTATGTTTTTGATAATATATAGACAAAAATAAAGATTCTATTACGCCTGAATGTGCACAGGGTACGGTCCTACGGCGCACGGTAAAAATAATAAGGTTACATTAGAGAATAAACACGAATTAATTCGTAATAAAAGTTTTCAATACATAAGATCGGGATGAAAATTATCATGATTCGATTCCTTAATGAATTTTGTCGTATTTCTAAAAAAAAATCAAGGCATTTGGTTAATTTTTGGCAGATTCCCGACCATTCGAAATGGGAAAGTGGTAAACACAATACACGAAAAATCGCGGTTATTGATGACGTTACGGCGCACCGGCGAGCAGTTCAGTTAGATTAGGATGTTGTAATGACACCTTAAGCGATTTTAAATGAATACAGAAGAAAGAAAATATGACAAAAATCACCAGATCTTTAGTATATAAATGTTGTGACACGATAGCGGTGTTTTTCTTTGAAGTTTACTGTTCTGTATTAGCAATACAGAACGGGACTACGGTGGGCGGAGCTACTTTCCGTTATGTATTAGCATTGTATTTGCCAACTATTCTGTATCTAAAATACAGCACGGTCTAAAAATAAATCTGATTCAATTTAGCAAAAGCACGTACAAATAGTAAATGCTGATGTTTTCCTATTATAAATTTTGGAGAAATACTCGGTATTTTCCTGAGAATGTAAAATGTCAATTTCTCAATCACTTTTTAAAAACTTATTCCACACAGAATCTACACGTAATTTCGATCCAAAGTAAAAGGAAAATTCGCAATAACGGAAAACATCCTCTGTACGTAATTTCGCTCCAAACGAAACCATGGAAACGGAAAATTTGCAATAACGGAAAACATCCACTCTCCTCGTGCAAAATCATTCAAATCCATTTTTCCGCGTTTTTATTTTTTAAAATCCTTCTCGCTGACGACAGGCACATGTCTCTTAATGTCGCAATTCAATTCGAAAATAAAAATCCGTGACAGTCCATCCAAGAATTTTCTGTAAATCCTGTTTTTGTTAATCTAGATAAACCGGGATTTCAAGACCCCTCAGTGAAATAAATTTATGATAAATCTCCATCTTCAATTTAATAGATCACAACAATGACGGTTAAATCCTCCACCTTATTCATTAAGACTGACTATCACTCGATTACGTCTACCCCATTAAGTTGTCAAAACTAATCTGACCAAATTTTACGTTTTCCGTGGAAATATATATACTGCGGATGCGTACTCCCCGTCGGGGCCTCATCTACAGAACTCAGACGGAAGTTTAGATGCTGCAAAGTTATAAAGTGGGCGGAGCTATTTTTGATTGATCGTGTCACAAATCATTTAGAGAACTCGACAGGTTCTGTATCGTAGATACAAATTTGGGGGTGGAGACTCGTGCTCGCGCACTCGTCTCCGCCCCCAAATTTGTATCTACGATACAGAACCTGTCGAGTTCTCTAAATAATACAAATGAAAGTTTTCTTAGCGAAGTCTTTTTGAATGAGACCCCAGGTAGTACAAAATATATGGACAAACTGCTATTGTAATAGCAAAAGACGCTGTCATTGTCGACCGTTGATATGAGACTGTCTGTTTGTTGACTAATGGTGAGAATACTGTCCGTAACTTCATAATAAATCTTTAGAAGATCGCATGTATGTGCCAGATTGGTACCTTAACTGGTTATAGACACTCACCTATGTGAATCAATGGAATTTCTAAATTTAAGTGGGACTTATCCAACTTTATTTTTAGCAAAGATGAAACATGGCGCTGTTTTACACACTTTGACGTTATCATCCGTGCGCCGTAGGGCGATACAATACATAACATAAAATCTAATAATTTGTTTATTTATGTATATATCTATTTGAAATTTGCTCTGTATATTCATAATATATGTAATAAATAGTAGTGAAAATTTCAGAACGCAGTGATTATTATTTTTCAAACTAGACAACTTGTCCACGATTTTACGGGACAACCCTCATATTTACAGTATCCGTTTATTATAAGTAGGTATGCATTAATTGTTTTGCATATTCTGGGAATAGTTTCTAATATTTTTGCCTTCCCTGCAGGTATGATGGGCGAGGTCACTTATATGACCTTAAGCCATATGACTCTAGTCATGCCCAGCCCTGTGTACTGACCCCAGAGGAGAAGAAATTGGAGGAGCTGTGTGACGAGGAGAGATATCTAGAGCTTCATACAGATGTAGCTGAAAAGAAGTTACATGAGGGTATGTTTTGTGAGTGAATATGTTTGTGTGATTACCTTAATGTCCTGAGTATTGGCCGCACTTTTTTTCGTCAGAAAATTGTACAAAAGTAGGGGTGCGCTCAATACGTAGGAACAAAATTCAACCCCCTTTTTAGCTCTACTGGTCAGAGACCAGAAGAGCTTATGCAATAGTAATGCGTTCGGCGTCCGTCCGTCTAGCTGTCTGTCTGTCTGTCTGTAAACAATTTTTTAAAATGCTACTCCTCCTACAGTTTTGGTCTGATTTTAATATAACTTGGCACAGAAGTAGACTACACTAAGATACATAATTCTGTGTATCGGTTTTTTTGATTTGGATGAACGGTGTTGCCGTGGTTACTAAAAATAGACATTTCTTTGAAATTCTTTCAAAATGCTACTCCTGCTGTTTTGGTTTGATTTTAATATAACTTGGCATACAAGTAGACTACACTAAGATACATAATTCTGTATATCGGTTTTTGATTTGGATGAACGGTGTTGCCGTGGTTACTAAAAATAGAAATTTCTTTGAAATTCTTTCAAAATGCTATGTCTCCTACAATTTTGGTCTGATTTCAATATTACTTGGCACACAAGTAGACTACACTAAAATACATAACTCTCTTTATCGGTTTTTGATTTGGATGAACGGTGTTGCAGTAGTTACTAAAAATAGAAATTTCTGTGAAATCTTTCAAAATGCTACGGCTCCTTCAGTTTTGGTCTGATTTCAATATAACTTGGCACACAAGTAGACTACACTAAGATACATAATTCTGCCTATCAGTTTTTGACTTCGATGAATATTATTGCCTTGGTTACTAAAAATAGAAATTTCTGTTAAATACTCTCAAAATGCTAATCCAAATACAGTTTTAGTCTGATTATAATATAATGTGGCATGCAAGTAGACTACACTAAGAACATAAAGAGGCTTAATCAAGGATCATTATTCTATTTATTGCTGTTGTAAAGTTTCAATTCCCAACTGCTTAAAGACGTACAACACACTGGGGGAGATAACTCTTGCGATTTCAATTGAACGTTTGACGTGACGTCAAATTAACGTCAAAGATAAAGCGTCAAAATGACGAGTAAAACGATCCCGATGTATATCAATCATAAAAGAAAAATGGGATTTGGGTCTTGGCTGTGATTTTGCGTACCATACTCAATAAATAATTATTTTTTTAATTAACCCGATTAAACTCCGTAAAGACAAGACATAAAATACCATCCCTAAATGTTTATTTCATTTCATTTCATATACAATAAATTGTAATCTTGATCAAAAGTCAGCATTTTTTTTAATTCTGAAAAATTTTACATTGCCGAAATTCTTATTATGTACAATTGGCTGTATAATATTCCGATTAATGGTCTTCATTACAGTTTGTGCATTTACGATATAAATATTGTTTTTCTTCTTTAATTAAATAAAACTACAATAAACAAACAAAAAAACTTTTTACAATGTAAAATCGATGTTGTTCTCAGACCCTTACTGATCAAAGAGGAACAACTCTGAAAATGTAGGAGATGTTCATTTTCCTCCCTTTTATTCACGGTTTTCCACAGAATCAGATACATTTACAGCAAGACCTGATAAATCCGAGAATTGAATACTATAGACCTCATATACACAATGTAAGTATAGAATTGAAAAGAATTGTTCAATAGTACTGAAATTATCTGCATTTGTGAATAGTGCAGTATCCTATTGCAGCAAATCGTTTGATTTTCTGTCCTGTCAACAATGACGGTTCGCATTTCCTCGAATCAAAACAAAACGTAGCCTATAAGATTTTTAAAAATATCAATGTGCGATTTGATATAAAGTGAAATAGACGAAGAATTTAATGTTTGATACTTTGAAGTTGATGTGGACGAATACGGAATTTTCATTTTAACTTTAGAAGCAACGACTTTGAAATATGCGTACAATATCATGAGGGGTGTACATCTATGCAAATGTCGATGTATCCCCACGGCCACGTACTGTCTCGTTTGAAATAATGACATGAAACAGAAAGAAACTACAATTATTCCATTTATATCACAGGAGAGTTGAACATACACCATTTTTTATAAATAAAATTAAAGAAATAAATTTAAAAATCAGCATATTCAAGTTCAACATAACTTGAATTCGTATCCAGGTTTCATGTGATATGGAATGCATATTAACGCATACATAATTATATGGACTAAACACTAAAATCATTCAGTAATTTTTTCCTTAGAAATATAAAAACAGTAGTCAATATTTATTCTGCATTCATGAATTTAAAAACTTGTGCATACCTCTGGGATTCAAATGACGAAATACTAGAATATTTCCACTTTACACGACGTTTCCTCAAACGCTAATGGTCTGCGACGCAAAAAAGGAAGGGGTGGGGGTGGTAGGGGTATTCAAAAATTGCCTAAAAATCTACATTTAAATACGCTTTACATATGAGAACTTTTAAATTTGTAAGTTAATATATTTTTGAAGCAAAAGCAATATTCCAATTTGTTTTTTTTTAAATGTGTATTTGTTGATTCATAGCAAAGTGATCGACCCCCGTCTGAAAGACGCGCGGGAACGCGATTTATTGAGAAAGGGGGAGGGGGTAATTTTCCGCATTAAATCAAAACTGGTCGTACAAAAATTCTACAAAAAATTATGAAGATTATTTTTACTACCAGCTACCTAAAGAAAGTTTTTTACCAAAATTAAACGACAGGTTTTTTCACAAAAAATTTTTGAATTTGAAAAATACACAATTTTCAAGGCTTAGATAATTCATAGTTTTTCAGTTTAAGGTCTTTAAAAATTGTTTTGATAATATGTATATTAAAAAGATGACTATGTTTTTGTGTTAAATGATTAAAGGAATAAGTCAGTGAAATTTAACATTTATATCTAACCTGGCTTTTTTGAAAATCAATGTTTAAGTAGTTCATTGATTAAAAATTTTCTCTCCTTGTAAACAACTAAAGGGGGGTAACTTTTGGAAGTTCCTGTCCAAAAACCACTCGAACGATTTTGTCCAAAATGTGCATACATGCAGTAGATATAGTCATGTACTAAATATACAAAAATAACGAAAATTAAACGACAGGAATTTTTTGGGGTAGGTGTGTTGTACGTCCTTAAGTACTTTTCTCTTCCTTTGCCATAAGTACAAACCAGTAGAGTTTCAGTCTCGACAGAGACTTCTGGTTTACGTGCAAACTGACACGTGCTTGGTATACATGCAAAACTTCATAACACACTTGGGATTAATTTAAAAAGGAAATAATCAGGTATTATTATCTCTAATTAGATAATTATTAAAAAGATAAAATTCAGATATCACACATGCACACTTTAGATACGTAGGGTAAAAAAAAAAAAGACGTGCTAATAATGTTTGCGGTGCAAAAAATTTCTATTTGAAGTTACTGTACTAGAAAAAGTAAAGTCACATCCATTTATACATTGGACCTGCATTTTTTTCAGGATTTTCACCCCAACTTTGGGGGTGCGTCTTTTACATCATTGCGGCCAATACACAAGATTTTGCAGTAAGAAAAGGGGGATATTTATTTTTTTTTGAATAAAAGATTCTAATGCATATATTGATTGTACTATAGAGGAGGAATGGAAGCGATATTACCAGTCTCTCTCGGAGGGGTATGGAGCAGTAGGATTCAGCTATGAACAGCAGCAGCAGGATGAATATGCAGAATACTATCAAGGTAGAGTTCACTTCAATTTTAAAATCTAGAAAAAGAAGAATAACATGATAATTAAGTTGTCCTCAAATTGGACTACTCTCTAAAGCTAAAATATGAAGGTCACCTTAGTCACCCTGGCTTAAAGGACCTGTTGATATTCATTTGTCATTTTGATCTGGCATTATCCATTTTACTTAAACTTTTTACATATTTGACCTGAACTTGCCAAGTGGTTCCACTGGTTGCTCATACCACTTCGCAAATTTATTCAAACTTTTTACCAAAAAAACCTTGATATTTATCCTTGTATTTATGTATATTCTCATATTGTATATGTATTTCAATAAACTACAAATAACAGGGCTTTAAAATGAGAAATTATATGAAATGAAGATATCCTTTTGTAGCTTAAACTTACATTTCTCGGAAATTTCTCTGAGGATCAAGAGGTAAAACTCCACGGCTCAGATTTTACAATTGGATGGTTTAAAAAGAATCATTATATGGTTAGGATGGATTGTTGAAATGTTCTCATGTTTAGAAAACAGAATATGATATAAAACAAATTACTTCATACATGTAATATTAAATATTTCAGCAATTTCAGAAGAGGAAAAACCTTTCTCAGCTCCATCTGAATTGAATCTTCCAGAGGATATTACCCCAGTAAGGTTTAATAGTACAAGAGTTATCAGAATTCTTTAGTCTTGTTGGAGGAAGAGCTTGAAACTTGGCTTTTGACTTCATAAGTTAACAAGAGGCCCAAGTTCCACATCACCTGAACAATGTGGTTAGGAACAGGAAAAAATCAATTCAGTAAATGCATAAATTGTCCTGACCCTTAAAGGAAGGAATGATTTGAACAAATTTAAGGTAATTCTATACTCGGCAATAAATGGGCTCAATCTTGGAAAATCTGCTAGACATAAATTTCAGCAATGGAAATACATCAGAAAAATCAAAATGACTTTACTGTACCAGTCTCCAGAAAAACGTGCTAAAATGTAGGCAACTTCAGTATAAAACAGTCTTATTGACCCCAAAATTGAATTCTACGCTTAAAAGTTTAGTTTAAAACTTCGTTTTTAAACACAACTAATGAAGGCTGGTAGCAAGGTCGAAATATCTCAAAAAGTGTTTGAAAGTTTTTTATTCTATTGACAAAAAGAGACTTTGGATAAATATAATATATAAATATTGTTTATTTAATAAAGAATAGTTCTGAACGAAGCATGTGCAGTGCATGCTTAGTGTCATTTCTTTTGGACTTAGCCGTTCTTCCATGTAAACAAACCAACGAAATGCTATTGAAGCTGAATTATGATCTTGCAAATATTACAGAAGCATATGAATTTCTTAACTTATCTAAAACATCGAGTCACTAACCCTAATTTCTCGGATGATATGCAAGGACAAAGACGTTTAGACGAAATCTTGCGGGCAGATGCTAGACTAACCCTAAGATCTTGCGGGTCTGGGGACCAGTAAAAGTCTTTTTGAAAA